CACAGGCATTTGCATTCCTTCATGGGAGCCGCGTCAGAGGGCATCTGGAGGGAAAGTCCTCCAACAGTGGCAGCCCGTCACGCAGAATGGCAGTGCCAGGTGCACTTGCTGATATCCCCAGCACAGGCTCCGAATGACAAGGCATTAATACTGGCTTCCGAGAAAATCTCAGATTAATGCTGCTTCTAGTACACTTAGCTAGGATAAGTTTTAACTTTCAAAGGAAGAACAAATTTAGCAAGCAGAGACCAATGGCTTTTAATGTCTTTATTGCACAAACTGAATGGTACCTCAGGCCTGCAGGGTGGCACCAGCAATGGTATTTTTGAAACAACAAGTTGTGATCCATTCATTAGGGGACCATGAAATCAAATGGGCAGAGGCCAGTATTTTTACAAATGGAGTGGTCTAGAATAGAAAACATTAGAGTGTTATGCATGATAAGGCAAGGTACTTTTGTTGAGGCTTTTAAAAAATATGGAGATTGAAGGATGGTTGAATGAACTATATTCTCAGTGTTTTTCTTACTGCTGGTCATGGTCAAAATAGTTTGAAAGCCATAAAACACTGGATATACCTAATTCCGTATGTAATTTTTGTGAAAACAAATGAAAACACCCTCTCAGGATTTCAGGATTGTATGATGATAATGGGAAACCCAAATCATCCAAGCAATGCCTTCTGTTCTTAATGTATATAAGGTGTGATTGAAAAATGCAGCAAATGTTTAAAATTTTTAAAATGCATTATAATGAAAGACATGTTCCAGCTAAGCATGGTAGTACATGCCTATGATCCCAGCACTCAGGAGGCTGAAGTAGGAAGATTGCCACGAGTTCAAGGCTAGCCTGGGCTATATAGGGAGATCCTGTCTCAAAAAACAAAACTAAAAAAAAAAAATTAAAAGACATATTGCTATTAATCTCCCATAAAATCCTTCCCTTTGTTTCAAATGCACTTATTCCATCATTCTTGCCCCTTTCTGAGGCAGTTCTGGAGGTCCTCGTTCACGTCTTTTGGCTCCATGTCCTAACTGATTCAAAACATTTACTCCTTGTGGTCATTTTGACTTTGAGGAAGAGCCAGAAGTCGCACAGAGCCAGATCCAGTGAATAAAATAGATGAGGATACCATAATGTTCTTATGAAGCCATCTTTCTCTTAGATGGCACGCACCAACAACATTCACAGTGTTTTTGATGACACCTTGTAAAGACACTCACAAAAGAGGACTTCCAGAAGTGCTTCAGAAAGTGGTAAGAACAATGAGATGAGTATGTTTGAAGTGAAGGAGAATGTTTTAAAGATTAGTGGTAATGTCTTTTATTATAACAAAATTTTAAAATATATTTTATATATAGATATAGATATATCCCTTGTAGTTTTACATCTTCAGAAAAAGCATATGTTGTGGTTTGTGTCTGAATGTCCCCCCAAAGCCTCACCCTGTCAAGGGGGCAGGGCTTTTCGGAGGCAGCTTAACCTATAGTTTGGCTGAATCTGATTGGTTCATTGTCTGTTGCTGGGATTGGTGGTATGAGTGCTACACTTGCCCTAGGGCAGGTAGCCTGCATACAATATAAGGGAGGAAAAAGAGACTTGCTTCCCCCTTTTGCTCTTGTTGCTTTTGTTGTCTTCTGCTGCCATCAATAGTTACCCCTCTGCCACACCATCTTGCCTTGGAGCCAGCTGAATAGGGACTGAAACCTCCACAAACTGTGAGCTAAATAAATCTTTCCTCTCTTAATTTTGGGCATCAGATATTTTGTCTCAGCAATAAGAAAAAGTAACTAAAATAGCATGTACGTATGCATGTATGTGCGTGTGTGTGTGTGTGTGTGTGGTATGAGAGAGAGAGAAAAACAGAGTATATTCACATTGTTATGGATCTGACATATCTTTCCAAAAGACTCATTGTATTGAAGACTTGGTATCTGATAGGTTTTGGGAAAGTGAGTAGATCACGAGGGCTCTAACTTCCTCAGGTTGATTGATCCACAATGAGAGTTCATAATCTGAGGCTTTAGATTGGGAGGTGATGGGAACAGGACATGGGGCCTAGTTCAAGAGAGTGGATCTTGGAGGTGTGACCTTGGGAAATATATCTGATCCCCAGCCTCTTCCTCTCTGACTTGGCTCCCTCTCTCTCCCTTCCCCATCTCTCTCTCTCTCTCTCTCTCTCTCTCTCTCTCTCTCTCTCTCTCTCTTTCTCTCTCGGCTACACGAGGTAAACAGCTGTTCTCCACAGCTCTTCTGCCATGATGTGTCTGTCTCATCACAGACCTAAAGCAATGGAGCCAGATGACCTGGACTTAAATCTCTGAAGCTGCAACCAAAATAAACCTTTCCTCCTTAAAGTTGTTTTTCTCAAGTATTTGGTCACAGCAATTAAAAGCTGACTAACACACATTCTCACAGACCTCAGGCAGTTTCTCTTCTGGTAACTGGAGCTGTGTCAGTGAGAGAAGAACCAGCTGACTAGATTCAGTGCTTCTGTGTCCCTTCAGGTGGGTAGGGTTGATTTCCAGCTCCTGAGGAGTAAAGACCACATCTTTTATTTCTTCTAACTTTCTCACAATATCTCATCACAGAGTTTCAGAACTTTTATTGACCTGAAGTGTATACAGGATGCAGTGATAGGCCTGCTGAAAAAGTCTATTTGAATTTCTTTACTAGATTTATGTACAAGATTTTTAAGTATTTTCTTTGAGCTTAAATAAAGCATCCCTTGTTTGATGAGTACTGTGGGTTTTCCAGACAGTTCACAGTAGATAGGGGTTCCACTACTTAGGTGGGAGTCAGGGCTAGGTAGACAGCACATCGAGGATGACAACTCTTATAGATCAGGACTAGGTAATGAGTGAAAAGCCTGGATGTCAATAGTTCCAATTCTAGGGATTTGTTCTATGCTTACATATGCACTTCTATGCAAAAATGATTGTACACATATGTAGCTTGGATCATATTTTGAAATGCCAAAATCATTAAATAGTAAGCCACAGGGGAGTGTCTAAATAAATTATGATACACACTTGCTATAGTTTGGATCGGAACTGCCCCCAAATCCCATGCATTAAAGTGTTGGTTCCCCAAGACTATTGGGGGTGGTGGTGGAACCAAGCTATTGGGAGGTGGTGGAACCTTTCAGAGGTGGAGCCTAGTAGAAGGACTTCAGTCCCTGGGGGCAGGGGAGAGGGAGAGTACAGTTATTTTCTCTCTTTTACATCCAGTTATGAGGTGAGCAGTTTTGCTGTGCACGGCTGCCATGATATGTTACCTTATCACAGACCCAAAGGCAATGGAGCTAACTGACCATGGACTGAAATCCCCAAAAGCCAAAATAAACCTTTTCTCTCCCTACATCAATTGCCTCGGGTATTTGTTACAGTAACAGAAAGCTGCCTAACGGACTACCTCCATACAGTGCAATACTATATGCTGTGAAAAACAGGACATTCCTTGCACACTGATATGGAATAGTCTCTAAAGGGGGTCTATAATTTTGTTAATAAACATCTATGACTCTAGAGCACTATCTCTTCTGCTGAAGCTCCCTGAGGGCCAGTTGAGGTACTCACTGAGACTGTGCACAGCTCAACTTGTTTCTCTGCTCAAACCAATCTTTTGCTTCTGTTCCACAGATGTCTTACAGTTTGCTTATGGTATGCAAACTTGGCACCTTAAAATAATAATTGTCCTGTGAGCCAGGAATTCAGGAGCTATTGGGCTGGCTTATGGTACTTCAAAAAATATTGTTCAAGATGTCCCCTGGGTCTGTCTCCCCCATGCCCTGCAGAGACCAGAAAGAAGTATGTTTAGTGGAGACAGTGACCATGCTTGTTGTTGAGATGCATAGAGGTAGTGAAAACTGTTGAGAGCAGGAGCTCCAACTAAGCTATCTTAGAAAAATATTATCTCCCCTGTTCTATTGGCCTCCAGAGGAGGAAGCTCTGTGGCCGGGATAAGTCTCCCTTTGACTGTGGTTTCTGTCTCTTTTCTCTTATTAAGTCCATATTAAGCATGGAGAATATGTGGTCATCATTATTTCCCCAGTATCCCATCTAGATTTAGCCAGTGATGAATTCCTCTATTTTTTCCCCAAAAGGTGAAATAATCTCCTTCCTCTTATAGTTTTTCCCTTCACCATTCTTTTCATTATTTTCCTACTTACATGGATAAAAATGAAATTAGCCTGGAAATTTGAATCATATTCCCCTAAATAATTTATATGTATTAAATGACTGAAGTCAGGCAGTATTGCAGTTTGTTCCTGTGTTCTGCCCTCCACCATCGTCCCAAATCCCTCTCCACAAATATCTTCTCACAGGTCTTCTCTGCACCTCTCCCAATGCACCTTAGTCATCAGTGGAATAAATTAATTCCATAAGAGTGGTGCCAAAGGTGGGACTCCAACCTCTTGGTTATTGTCAGATTCTATCCCCAGTAATTTTTTTTTTTTTTTTTTTTTTTTT